CCCCACGGGGAAAGGACTGAGACACAACTATTCCATAAACATGGGCACCTTTAAGCACATCTGAACCATGTACTTGCATAGCCGATATTATAAGGACTCGCATCATACTTGTAGAGTGACAACTCAGATCCCCAGAGAGCTGACGGAGCTCCCCAGAAAACCAAATCTTTGTGGACGGGCAGAATAAGAACACTCTCTACTACAAGGAAGAGCTTGGTACCTATACGACCTATCATTAGGCTCAAGTATTGTCACATGGGAGGCATGCATGCGCCTATGCCGATAACGACCTTCAGAGAGTCTCCATTTGCACAGGTACTCTGAGGGTCTCTAGTATTGTGAAGCCGAATACCCTTATTTGATATTATACAGGTCTTCTTTATACCTCCGTTTGTTCTACCACACCACAACCTCCACTGACATACAGTTCCTGACTGCAGACTTGTGTACGCTGCCTTCCCAGCGTAACGCTGGACAAATGCCGTTTGCACAGCATTACCATAACTAGATAGAGCTGGGGAACATAGGGAATTCCTATGCACCATAAAGTGGCGGCAATGGTGTGCAAACATTCAGCTTTATGCTGGGAGGAAGGTTTGTACATCAGACCCATACAGAGGAAGGTGATTTTTACCCAACCAGCCAACAAAAACAAGCGATCATACTGAACGGATTAAATGCTCTCAACACTTCTAATGAAAATGTTCAACGATGGCTCCAACGACGTCGGAAAAGCCACAAGCACATGCAAGTAACTACACAACACCAAATATCTCCCACACACAGACTGCAGCAAAGAGAATATTTCCAATATGGGATCAGCAAACACTATTTTATACATATTTTGTGGCATTCAGACTATGAATGTCTATCAGCCACTCAAAGCATCAAATAAGAGTTGGGGCTCAGTCACACCAGCTGGATTGAGCTTCGCTGATCAATGCAGGCTCAACGGAGGATCAATGCAAGCTCAACACAGGGACACCGTGAGAGCAATTGTTCTCTATGCGCCCCATTCACACAATATGAGCGCACTGGTGTGAGCTGCATAATAGTGTCGCATCAACGCATCTTTTATGCAATGCACATATAATGCACGGCAGTTCGAGTTAATTGGAATTGGTTTTGTCAATTTTCAATAAAGTTAATTAAAAAAAGAAACATAAGCAATGCAATGCATTCTTACAAATGCATCGTAGTGCAGATGCACAATGCACAACACAATGCATGGCGCTCCAGGGTGCTGGAGTGAATGGACCCTTATGTGAATGAGTCCTTAAATAGGGGCTGGACACATCCCAGCAGGTAGGTAGCCAATGGTCCTTAAAAATTGCTAACTTTTGAGGTTTTCCTCAGTTGTTGTCAATGAAGCTGCTCCTAAAAAAAACAAAACATTCTACTGACTCCTGGATTGGACAGACTGTTTTTCCAATTCCATATTCATTCGTCCACCTATGCCCTAAAGTAACTACCGTAGTTCCTTCTGGAGGGGGGCTACGTCTGTTCCCCATGGTCCCTGCGTGTGTTGTAAAGTAGTCACCGCTCCAAGTTCCCCCCCTGGGATGGACTACAATCTCATGTTTAGTTTACTGATTTGTATTGAGATTGTAGTCCATCCCCAGTAGCGAGCTTGGAGTGGTGACTACTTTACAACACACACAGGTACCATGGGGAACAGACGTAGCCCCCCTCCAGAAGGAAGGACAGTGTCAGAGATGATTGGAGGATCTACAGCCGGGTGATACACAAATAAAATACATTGTTGTTCAGAGTTCAGGGACTTGAATGGATTTTTAAGGTTTACCTCCGGAGTTTAGTGTCACTTTAATATTAATATGATTATTATTATCACATAAGTCGGGCATAGAGCTTTAATCATTGTTTGCCGGAGATATACTGTATATATATATAGATAGCCAGTGTAAACCTTTATTTCCCACAAATTGGTATTTCTCTAAATTAAAATAATTCCGTCTTCATGACTCTATTACTCGTCCCCTCAATAGACACCTCAGAGACCCTCACAATGAACGCACCAAAAAAAGAACCTCGCGATATTATAATGAACCTCGGTAATCATTTTCGGAACCTCGCGATATTATAATGAACCTCGGTAATCATTTTCGGAACCTCGCGATATTATAATGAACCTCGGTAATAATTTTAGGAACCTCTCGATATTATAATGAACCTCGGTAATAATTTTAGGAACCCTGTGATATTATAATGAACCTCGGTAATAATTTAAGGAACCTTGCGATATTATAATGAACCTCGGTAATCATTTTAAGAACCTTGCGATATTATAATGAACCTCGGTAATCATTTTGCGGTCTGGCATTTACATATAAACCACCGCTAAAACTGATAACACAATACTTCATTGAGCCGATTCCGCACAATAAAAGCCGCAGCGGAATGAAACGCACCAATTTTTGTGAACGGCCCGCTGCTTTTGTGAATTGATATCTTCTTTGAATGAATGGATTTCTGGGTCCACTTAATTGCATTACCGAGGATTACGGACGGCGTTAATCAGAGAAGGTCAATGGCACAGCCAGGGTGGGCAGAAGCATTGAATATGTGAATCGAGAGCAAACTCCCCAAAAATCACAATTACATATTTAATGTTAGTCACTGCCCCCCCCCCCTTACCATCCTAAAAAAAAGCATTATGCTTTTCAAATGTATTGGATGCAAATCACATCTCAAGCTTAGCGGATAAATACAATACTGTCTATGAGATCGGCAATGCAAGATACTCCCCAGTATTCAGGAATAGCGAGTCCCCTGCATGGTAGTGTGTGTATGTAATCAGACATGGCTAATAAATGTCAATGCATCAAAACTGAGGATATTATATTACATTATTTGTCTGAATCCGTACAGACACATTCCCCATAGTCTGGGATTCCTGCAAATACTCTCCAAGGGGCTTCCAGTTATAAGAAGAATCTTCTTAGGCTGACCCAATGCTGGTTTCTTATATTACATGGGGACTCCAGGAACCAATCTACAGTTCCTGGTTGTGTTTTCGCACTGGATCAGTGTGGTCTCACTCTTCGTGTTGCACTTTGCATAACACAAACACATTTGAAAATCCAACAGGAAGAGGAGCCCCACTATCTATAATTATCACAGCAGATTCACAGTATTCAACACTGTCCCCCGAGAGAGAGAGAAGAAAGTGCTGAGTAGTGTGCCTCTTCGGCATCTACCAAAAACCAATAGATGGATTTCCTGGGACAGTCCTGCATCTTGGACCTCAGTCCCTATCTTGGACCCCAGTCCCTATCTTGGACCTTGGACCCTATCTTGGACCTCAGTCCCTATCTTGGACCTCAGTCCCTATGATGCAGGACTGTCCCGGGATCACGGTGTTATCCCTATTTGAATTGCTGTGCATGCAAGACATTTATGACATTGCTTGGCGCCCCGGCAAGCACGCAGGGTCCGGGCGGGCAACTTCGTTAACTAGGTTGGACCACCTGGACACTGGGCAGGCCTAAGGTGGACCGCAGGGAGCATTAACTGTGCCCTGGGGGCAGGGCCCAAAATTTTGGTACATATGCCAAAAACTAAACTCTGTTTTGGGTAGACTGACCCTTTAAACCGATGTCCAATCATGGCAACATTGGATAGAAGGCCACCAGCACTCACAAAGTTCAAAGTGTGAATTTCTATTCCTCTTTATTGAACATGCGTCATCAAAGCAGAAGCCAGCCCTTCGGGGGCCACGCAGGGCCCCTTCATAAGGGTGACATAGTGACCACTAGTTATCACTGCCAGCACCAGGAAGGTGGAAGGTTATAACGCTGTATGGAGTGCAAGTGATCTACTGCAACACTATCATGACAGCAGAGTAACGACCTATTTTTTAAGAGGAACATGGGACCATTACACTTTTTTAAAGTGTTTGGTAATCGGTAGAGTGTGGAAGGGTCAGTAGCCCGCCCGTTTGGGTTTATACTGATACGTGGAGCTAAATTACGGAGATTTCCCCTCACTTCCTGCACTGCTAACAAAAGTTAATTCATGGAAGCGAGGGGAAATCTGATACAGGGTCACAGATAGAGCTAAAAAGCTCCCGGGAGTCCTAGCATTCCCCCACTCTACTGAAAAAAAAACAAGGATTTGGATTTTTGTCGCTGTTGGAGATTTTTCCTCACTTCCTGTCTGGTAAATGTTGTCATTAGGGCAGGAAGTGAAGGGAAATCTCTCTAAAGGAACCCCAGACAGCAGCAAAGACCCAACAGACATTCTAATCCTTCCCATATTATCCAAAACTACGTCTTGGCTGGACTTACACCTCTAAACTCCTACTCACCACTTGCTTAGTAGGTTGCAATTCGCTCCATGTATAAAAGCTTTCTGATTTCCTATCTTTGCAATTGTCAAATCCATGTAGGAGGCCGGTGTTATTCCCCCGTGAATAACTGAAAAGACTGAGCATTAGTCTACACCAAGCAAGCAAAAATAAGCAGGCCGGTGATGTGCCAGAGATCGGTAGCTGCAGTTTTAAATATGTATGTTGGAGTGCGTTTAGTGGCTTTCATTAAAACATATTTTCGGGGAGACGAGTGGCCTTCATGGTGTCATTTCTGGTGACCTTCGGGGGGGGGCCATAGAAGTCACTGCAAAGAATACCAAAATGTGCGCAGCAATGCTCATTACCGCATGCATTGACCAAAGATTAAGCAAAGCTCAATCCCGCATGCATTGACCAAAGATTAAGCAATGCCCATTACCGCATGCATTGACCAAAGATTACACTGGGTGGTGTCAACGTGCATTACCGAACTTATAATAATACTTAGAAACTATACATGAGAAACAGATTTTTGTTACTTTATAAGAAAGCATACGCTAAAGTGCGGTCAGGTGTCTACAAATGAAGCTTTGGCCTGTAAACTGCAAAAGGACAGACCACAAACCCCCTGAGGCAGGCGTGATAACACGACACCTGACAATAACCTTTCCTGACAGATAAAGCTCATTACCTTGCAAACATGGAACTGTTCAGAGGTCAGACTCTCCGGTATTTCCGCCTCCCTGGGGGACACGGCAGATCCGAGCGATCCGGATGGATAAAGCGAACAGCCCCCGCCCGATCCACCGCCAACCCCGGCACCTCCGCCTACCGGTGACGAGGCAGTAAAACCGTCCAAAACTTTGAAGATCTTCTTCATCCTTGTAAACTGAGCCCCGATGTGCATCCCCTCGAGGAAAAAGGAGTCAATCCCAAATGACTTAGATGTACAGAAAAGGCAACAAAAAAAAAAACAAGCAAAGGTTGGAGTGGCTATGTGTGATTGAAGGAAAACAATGAATAAAGATCCAGAGTCTATGGATGACTTGCTGATGAGAACTGTGCAGGCTTTCCGGTGCTCCTCGCTTATTCCACCTTGCAGATAATGCATGTGCGTAATGCTTCTGTATAAAGGGTTCCAGCCCAAGTCCGTTCAATAGAACCCAGCATCTAGAGGTTCTGACGTATATTCCAGTATTCAAGTGTCATTTTGTATCAATGAAAATGTCCTTTTTCTCCGGCAACTATTAATAGGTGCTCCGCGTGTCACAACAGATGCAAAGATGATCAAATCAACCGGTTTTCATATCTTTCGGAATCTTCTCTGCGCCATTTATCCCATTGTTATGACTATTTTTCCATCTCTTGCCTCCACTTAAAACTTTGCGAAATGTCATTCGAGCCCAATAGCCTGTTAAATGTCTTCCTGGCCCGCAGAGCAGCGCATGGCCTGTACCTCGAAAACCGGATGTCCAAATGCGAGAGGGCAGAGCCCGGCACTGGCGACTGAACAAAGATTGTTCCCCCGGATGGCTCGATAGATTATTCTAGTCTGGACCACGAGCCTGGAATTAGCAGCGAGCCCTGGTACCGGATCCCTCGTTTACAAGAGCCTAGCGTTCCCGCTTAGAGCGGCAGGAAGAGTACCCGCTAGGCAAAACAGATTCCTGATTCCCCATTGTTCTAAAAGGAAGAGCGTTTCTTGCTGGGGGCTGCGTTCGATGCGTCAGCATCGTCTAGGAGAGGAAGCATGCACGGCTCTTTAATTGCTAATAACGAACCTGAAACAGATTTCTCAGTGGGAGGTCCTGTGCCTGCTACTGAGCACAGGCTCGATCTTCCAATAAAGACCCCCCCTGCAGATCTGTTAATATACTGTAGGGGACTACAGCACCTGCTAATGGGAACAGTCCCGAGACCCCCGAAGATGAATGCTGAGGCCGAGAGCAGACATCCAATTCAGCAGCGAGTGCCCTGGACAGCTCCTGATCTCCAGAGTCCCCCTCTTAGAATCCGGCAGCAGCTCTATAGGGCTGGAGCAGTTGCTTCAATCTCTTTTTACAAGTGTCCAGCACCTGCTAAGGGCACACAGATCCCATTCACCAATCAGGCTCCAGGCCACGTCTCTCAATGTCTTCGACAAGGGTCGGGCAGCTGCAGCGGAGCACAGTCCGGAGCCTCCGCTGATGGCAGGAGAAGATACGGCAGCACAAGCAGATTGTCCTTTGCAGGAGACCACGACTTCAACCTTCAATAGTGATCCACAGTCCAGGAGGCGATCCTGAGCACTGGATTGCTACAGCAACCCTCAGCAACAACAGTCCCTCGGTACAGGAACAGATCCCTTATACAGAAGTCCGCCACCTGCTACTGGGCACAGGTTGATAAATTCGGCAATCGCCGCTCCCAATTCCCAATGTGCACAGAGACCAGAGCTCTCAGAAATGATCAAGGGACGTCGGGAGCAGAGCTACGGAAGTCCAGCAAGCAAGCTACTAGATCCTTCAAGGGTTCAGGATCACTTAACGTCTTTTTTTGCAGCAGTCCACAGACCCAAAGACCGGCAGCCCCCTCGGGAATGGTTCATAAACCAGGAAAAGGGATCGGGGTTGGGGGGGGAGTCCAGTGGCTTCAACAGGGACCCGGAGATCTGGAGCGGCCCCGGGATAGAAGCAGATCCTGCAGTCCACTTTCTGTAGTGCAGCGCAGGCCCCTCTCTGTCGTGCAGCAGCACCCCCCGCTTTCCCCAGGACAGGAGCAGGTTTCTTCTTATCTCCTCTGTCCCTTTACAGGAGTGCAGGAGACCCCCACGGGGAGAGCAGCGGATCCCCCAGTCTCCCCTCAGTAGTGCAGCAGATCCCTCCTCAGTATTGAAGTAGACCCCTGGGAGAGCAGCAGATCCCCCGTCTCATCTCCCCTCAGTAGTGCAGCAGATCCCCAGAGTCCCTCTACAGCGCAGCAGACACCCCCCACTCAGCTGGACCAGAGTCCCCTCTATCTGACTGCGGTGATGGTCGGCCCTATGAGGTAAATGTCACGGTGGAGGAGCTGATGATGGAAGGTGACAGCATAGGGTAGACTCTCTCTCTCTCTCTCAGACTCCCCCCGGCGGTGTGTGAGCTGCACAGGCTGCTGTCCGAGGTGCTGAGGAGAATGGGCGGGGACCGTGCATGGGCGGGAAAGGCGGAGTCGTGTGATCCTATAAATTATTCACAGCGCTCACAGACCCCGTCCCGCCGTCGGCCTCACACGCCTTTTTGCCCCGCCCGGTCGGACCACCGCCCAATAGGAGAGAACACGTGCCGGGGGGGGGACCAGCGGCACGCCACGCCCTCCCCAGCTGCTCAACCCGAGCTGCAGCAAATTGGGGCGGGGAGAAGGAGAACGAAGGGCGGCGATTGGTTAGCTGAGCCGTGATTGACGGCTCAGCAGAGGAATGAGCGAACGTCCCTCCCTGCTTCTGACAGGAATCTATATAAGCGATGGGATGTACACAGGAGTTCATACATAGCTTTGGATTCCGATATGCAGCTTTCTCTGTGCTCAGTATTATGCAAATGTATTGATCAGTCAGCTTATAGATGCCTAAATATAGCCATTCACATGATGTATTATCAATAATATGTTATCGTGTCAGTGATTTACACAGAGCCATCAGCTGCCATGGGACCGTACAGGATAAGAGAAAAAAAAAAGGCCAATAAAAAAGATAATCGATCCCAAATACACCCCCAAAATATAAAATACCGAATATGCGCCCTGATTGATGTACCCCAAAATATAATTGAGCGAATATGCACCCTGAATAATGCACCCCAAAATACACATTACCGAATGTGCACCCTGAATAATGCACCCCTGAATAATGCACCCCCAAAATATACACTACCAAAAAATGACACCCTAATATATATATAAACGTCCCCTAATAATGCACACCCCTGATAAATGCACTCCAAAATATACACCTCTGCAAGACACCCCACCAAAATATACAGGGAAAATTTACATTCCCCAAATATTCACGGCAGGTGAATCCTAATGGTGCATGTGGCTTTAACTACAGGTAAAGATTAACCAAATGTGAATGTTTGGTGAATAGCACATTTGCTGCTTTATAAGTAGTGTTGGGTTGGGATGTTCCAGTCGAACGTCGCTAATTTCGTGTGTTCGGCCCGCTGAACGCCCCGCAAGGCATTGCGCCTTGTGAAGCCCTAATTGGCTGAAGGCTTGCACCTGACCACAGGTCAGGTGCAAGACTTTGCCCCAATCAGGGCTCAGTACTCTGTAAGGCCTGGTTCACACCTGAACGTTTTGTAGCGCGTTCAACGCTCGACGAACACTCTACAAAACGCTCAAACATCTAAAATCCCATTGTATTCAATGGGTCTGGTTCACACCTTGCCGTATTTCCGCCCGTCCGAACGCGATACAAAACGGCCTATGCCCAAAGAAGTACATGTACTTCTTTGGGGCGTTTTGGTCTCGCGTTTCTATTGGGATACAGCCAAGTAGCCCTCGGAAACGGGCGTTTGTCGCGCGTTTTTTTACCGCGAATCGTGGTAAAAACGCGTGACAAACGCGCATATTCAATACGCCTAGGTGTGAACCCAGCCTAAGATGACTTTGCCCAATCATGGCTGACCTGTCAGATGATGTGAAATTCCGCTTGTTTATGTTGTTTATGTTTTGCCGGCATCTGTCAGAATGACATTCTGCGGCGGGTGTTCGTTGCGAGCGGACGGGACAGCGGTCGTCGTTTTTTTTAAAATTATTATTTCTATTTATTTTTTAATGTGTTTTTTTTTTATTTTCGAGTCGTCGTCATGGACAACGCTGGTAGTCGTGATTGACCCTGGATTACGCTGCTGGATCCATTTTCGGGGGAATTTTTTTTAACAACAAAAAACTTGTCCAAAATCCTTTGTTGTGTGTTTTTTTTTTTTCAATTAAAGGATTTTTTCCAAAAGTCTGTTTTTTTTTCAATTTTATTTAACCCTTTAGGCCCCGTTCACACTGAGCGACATGGGTATTGTGCGTTTTACCACGCAATTTTGTGCTGAACGGCTTTGAGCTACATTGCGCGATAATGAGCGACAATGCACATTTTAGCTCTTTTTTTGGGCGAGGCTTCGTCGCTCATACATTGGGAGGTAACCGATCAACAGCGATCTTGTTGTGACATCATTCTTTCCGAAATCGCGCTACCAAGACGCGCATTATTGCCGGTAATGCGCGATTTCGCACAACACCAGTGAGCCTATTGGGGCCGAATTGCGCGACATCCGCCGAAAAAAGGGTCATGTACGAGCGACAAGCTTCACAGTGACGAGCTACAGGCGACATTGAGCTGTGAGATTTGAACAGCTCCATTGGAATGCATCGGACAAGCTACATAGAGCGATATCGCGCGGAAATATGCGCGATTTCCCGCCGGAAATCGCACGATAAACCGCTCAGTGTGAACCGGGGCCTAAGTGAATGGGAAGTGGTACAAGCAGGGGCGTATCTGCCGCGAGGCAAACAAGGCGTTTGCCTGGAGCGGCAGATTCCCTGAGAGCGGCACTTGCTGTGGTTCTCTTCCCTTGATACATTTTATTTATCAAGGGAAGAGAACCGGAGGCTATCGTAGCGGCGGGGACGAGGCCGGCCGGCGGGGACGAGGACGGCGGGTTGCGGCGGTGTCCAG